TCTTGGCGAACGTGGCAGCTTTGAGTTTGCGGTAAATGGAGCTGGTACGCTGTGTGCCCGTTGGAAAGGACTGCAAGGAGGTCCTGGTAGTCAGCAATTGTCACGCTGACTACAACGCATGTGTTGCGCACAATGAAGGATGGATCGCGAAAAGAAGTTGAATGCCCTGAAGCTGTCTCCTTCTACAGCAGCATAATGGGCGGAGTAGATCTGTCTGATCAGAAATGTGCACTTTACGACTTCAATAGACGTTCCAGAAAATGGTGGTAAGGTGTACTATAAAATACTACAGGTGGCGGTTGTAAACGCATGGATAATATATCAGGAAATCCATCACGAGAAAACGAAGCTGATCAAATTCCTTGTTCCTCTTGCTCAGCAAATGATTGCGCAGGGGAGGGAAAGGACGGCTAACAGGCGCAAGCCCGGCATGGGGAGGCCACCAAAAAATTTCAGGAGGATCATCAACGTTGGGGACCATATGCCACTACAGTTAAAAACGCGTCGGCGATGTAGATACTGCGCGATGTCAAAGAAAGAAACTCGTACAAAAATAATGTGTGCTGCTTGCAACGTGCCCTTGTGTATATCATGTTTTACTCCGTACCACTCATAGACCATATAATGTTGACCTTTTCAAACTTTTTTTTTTGTAAAAGTTTTCGGGTCATTGAAGACTTTAATATTGTAAAAAAATGTGTGGTTGTAGAATTGCCAATTTATTGAACAAAAAAATCATCCGAGCGGAAATGGTGTTATGACAAGACGGGCCGCTACCGCGCGCATGGTCCCTAGATCAAATCCCAGGTCACACCCAACGTACATCAGCCAAATTTCTACAGCTGGTTGCCTGTTGCTGGGAGGGATAATTGCAACGCAGAACACATTTATAACTCGATTCTAAAAAAGTCGTAGTCTAAGGGTTAAGCCTTTGAGAGCCGTTTTTAAATGATACGACAGCAAAAATGTTCCCGCATGACAATGGCTCAACCACTGGCGAACAGTCAAGGCGAGAATTACCATTCAATAATTTCCTTCTTGGTAACTTCACACCATACTTTTACTTCATAAATTGTAAAGGACCAACTACTTTACATCGACAAGTATTTTTTGAAGACACGCTCTACATTTATCAGAAGCCATTCGGAATAGAAAGGTACCTGATCTATGTGTTCACGCCTAGAGGGAACAATCGGTAAAAAAAAATGATTTAGTTTTGCAAACCAGTATTGACCAATGCGGTACAATCAGTTGCCGGCCCGAGATATGATTGCTCATATATCGAGTGTTATAAGTTTGATCAAGAGATTTGACCATCCCAGAACCAACAAGTGTGTGGTAGCCGTCACCTCCTACCAACATAGGACGTGAAGTAGAAAATGAGGCTTCTGTAAAGCTACGTGACAGCCTGTCTTATGGCATCTGGCACAGCTGCGCTGAACCCTTCGATGTTACCACAAGATACCCAAACACAGCAAGTATGGGCAATCAATGCGGGCCGGTCAATAACTGCGTAATTTGAAGTGACAGGTCCGCACGACGTGTGTTGTTGGAACGCTGAACAAAAGGGGAGCGCATGGATAACATTCCATCAGTTAGGTTACTCGATAACATATGCCCACTACAACGATGAATGATGCAAATAGTAGAATCACCCCAAAGCCTCTTACTTTATGGCAATGCCTAGATCGATTTGAGCCTAGAACTCTTTTTTTTTCTTTTTCATGAACCACGCAAGCTGGAAGTTCCCGGTAGAAAATTCCAGGAGATCCACTCAATTTTCCCCACGTTTTTATCACGGCTAGGAACTGATTCCACGACGCGCGTCCGTGTGACGGCGCCACTTGCCACTATACCACTTCCGCCCAAACATTTAAATTGCGAAGGTAAATAAGATGTTACAAGTCCTGGAGAGTCATATTTACCTTGAGGTTCTTCGATGTAGAGAGTTGATACTCCATTAATGCTTGGGAAGCTCGCCATCGTTGTACCTTCACTTACACCTTCTCTAATAATGTAAAGACTTAAAAGCACCATACCTCCTGGGATTTAAAAATTAAACCTGACTAAATATATTGTGAGGAAACGAACCTGCAGATATCACAAGACCGCAAATGAGGTCAGTATAGTATTCTTCACACAATAAGAGAGGCGTTATGGATAGAAAAACGGAATCCTAAGCCAAGAAAATCGTTAACTCCTTGATATCCTGGTGAAGTATTAATTGCTTGACAAACCTGGATGAAATCCTGTTCGTCACGATAAATTGCTGAAAGCTCATCGGCGTGTGATATATGCTGCCGAGTGATCTTTGAGTACAGCAATGTTTTTATGCACTTACAAGCGGTCTGAACGTGTTCGAAATGACTGAAGCTCCACTTCACCATAGGAATTAGAAGACGGCTATTTTGAATACCTCTCGTATTCGTCCAATTTTGCCTACACTTTGCTGAACCATATGCTGCACCACTCGCTGAGCATACTGTTGTTGTAACACTGCATCCTCAGCCCGGAGGCACAACACTTTCGTCATCACGCACATCGCTGACATTCGAACCTGAAGAAGAGAAAGTACCATAACATTCTGCACATCATAGTCAATGCGATATATGCAAGAGCTAGATATGGCCGCAAAGTTACAATTAAGCTGCGGTCACCTTTGTGGAGCCCTAAAGTTCGATTGCGAAGTAAGTATTGTGAAGTGCGATCTTACGATCGCATTCACTCAGTCGCGATATGACCACGGTCTAGGATAACATTAATACATATTCGTAGGAGCAACTACTTACGAAACGTCCAATGTCTCCATGACAGTCAGTGGTGTAATCCTCAACCGCGCAAAATAAGGCACTGAAAACGGGAGAAATCCACTCAGCACAGGGTCGGCTTGCAAATATCTCTCCAAGAGCATCGACGGCACTACGTCGGGCGAGAGCCCACTTGGCGTCGAGGCTGTTTCGTCTGAAAGCAAAAATATACTTGTACCAGACAAAAGGAATTATTTCTGGAGGAAATATCATGGTTTGAAGCTCTTAACGACGCGCTCTTCTCCGTCTTCTGGTACAGTTGCGCTTTCTTTCTGTGAAAACTCCTTATTATTACTGATTATTATGTCTCACAAAAGCAAAAGGTAAGCAAGAGGTGCGGGTTCTAGTCCCGCCTGGGGCGAAAGTTTTGTTCACAACCCAGCATTCTTGTGAAACATTCGCAAGGCGAACTGCGGCCAAAAACAGCAGTTAACAAACAAAAACAAGTCAAAATCAACAATGTTCCGTGATATAAGACTAAAAGAAAGCCGATACTCGACCATTTTATAGCGCCAACATTAGCGAATCGAGCTCCTGCTTCCGACAATAGCGAATCAAGCTCCTGCTTTAGAGATGAAGTTCCTAAGACCACTAGCGCCCCACTTTCACACCCAACACCACTGCGTCAATAACAGGGTAGAAATGCGATATCAAGTTAGGACTGTGATAACAGACATAATGGGCACATGGAGACTAGAACTTAGAAGTTCATTGGAAGGCAAAGACGAAAGACGTCGAAAAATGATTTAAAAACAGAATTACCGAGATATCAACCTACTTTACAATCACGGTGCAAATGGCGTCAACCAACAGCGAGCTGATGAAACGTCGAGGAAGGAAAGCCACTACCAAGCCCAAACCAATACGCTCGTTTTCTTTTTTAGCTGTCAAAATCTGAACAGAAGGGTTTGTATGA